CTGCAGTGGTGGCTGGCACTGCAGTGGTGGCTGGCACTGCAGTGGTGGCTGGCACTGCAGTGGTGGCTGGCACTGCAGTGGTGGCTGGCACTGCAGTGGCAGTTGGTGATGTAGTGGTAGTCTCTGGTTTGGTTGTTGCTGTAGTGGGTTTTGGTGCTGTGGTGGAAGTCTCTGCAGTAGTTGTTGCAGAAGTCTCCTTTGTAGGTTGTACTGTTGACCTCATATCTGGAAGACATGTTTGTCCATTTCCAGTGTAACCCGAATTACATATGCATCGGTATGAACCAACATTATTAATACATTGAGCATTAACACTGCATGGGAATTTTTTTCGTGTGCATTCATCTTTGTCTGTAAAAATGGAAACAATTTTTTAATTTAAAAATTAAAAGAACAAAAAGAATAGATGGTTTGATTGTTTGGAGTAGGTGAAATATGTCAATATTCTGTAAAGTCTTTTCATATCTGGCAAGACCACCATAGCAACCAATAACATTTGTACAAAATGGAGAATGCATGTATATTTTTCCTCTATATACAGTTTTACCTCGGCAAGTTTTTCCATCACCATCAAAGCCACGCTTGCAACGGCAGATGTATGAACCAATAGTATTAGTGCACAGTGCGTTTTCATGACAAGTGTGGGACTTATTTTCACATTCATTGGCATCTGTTTCCAGGTTAACCAAGAAATAATACATATTAATATTGATAATATTGTATGCTGAGATAACAAGAAGTAATACCTTCACATGAGCCATCTTCACTTTCTATGTAGCCAGAAGCACAAGTGCACTTATAATCTCCCTTTGTGTTAACACACACCTCATTTATTTTACAATTGAACTTGTTTGCTTTGCACTCATCCTCATCTATAAAGATTTTGTCATTTTCAACAATATGGGAAATTAGAAAAATAGMAAGATATTTACCAAAAGGTCATATCTAATATGAATATGAATATTAAAGAGCTACTTGCATAAAAATGCAATATTTTCAAAATGTATTACTTAGTTGAGCCTACTAAAAACTGGAAAGTTGTCGATTTGGAGTCATTCCACAGCAGAGAAATTGGAGTAAATGATGACGAATTATTCCAGCATTCAAATCAAATTCTTAGGAATGTCTTTATAAATCATATTTAAATTATCTTGATACATGATTATGAGACCCATATTATTAGATAGGTCTATTAAGATGTATTTGTTTATGTTTGCTAATTTTCATACAAGCAGCCCTTTAAGACACCTTACCAGAGCATGATCTTCCATCTCCTACAAAACCACGACGGCATCTACAAACATAACTGCCACGAGTATTGGTACAAAGAGCATCAACATGACACATATGACGACCAGTACTGCACTCATCAATATCTGAACAGCAAATAAATTCACAATAAATTGAAAGCATGATTTAATGAAAAATACATTAAGCACAATAGAATGGTTGTCCATCTCATGCATGTMCTCTGATACAATCATGTTGTAAGAATATATGCATTTAACAGACAAAAAAAGAAGAAAAAACCTGCTCTCTCACCATATTCATGCCAGAAGACAGAAGAGATACAAAAGGTCATTTCATAATCTCTTTGTAAAGTGTATGTCAACCCTATTCAATCTATATGCTATGTTTTTGAGTAAGCATTTTGCTTTTATCAAAGTACGTACCTGTACAATTTGTTCCTTCAAAACCTGCTTTGCAAATACACTGAGGTCCCTCTTCAAAGAGTTGACATTTTGCATTTTCTKCACAAGCAGGTGAACACTGTGACATGACTTCTARAATAAAGGAGTCCAAGAAAAGGTATAATACAGAATCCCTAATATACTTTTAATCATTAAAAATATTCCAGAAACTTCTAATCTTTTTGTGAACAAGTCTACATTGTTTATAATCTTTTTAAAAAATTACATGTACAAGCCACACAACATCTGTCAACCAGCTATAACACCTTACAATTAAATCTATGGCCACAACAAATTTTATGAATGGCTGCAGCTCATAATCAGCTGTAAGTTTACCAATTCTGGTAATGTAATATAACAACATGTAGCTATATCTATCAATTATAATAAAAACCTACCAACACAAGTTCTTCCATCTCCAGTGAAACCCTTGCGGCACCTACAGACATATGAGCCTATTGTGTTGGTACATAATGCATTCTCATTGCATTCATGAGTGCCTGCTTTACATTCATCGACATCTGTGAAGAATGGTACAGAATTAGACATTTGTAGGCAGTGAATTCAAGGAATTTCTTTGCTTTTTAAAAGATACATTCACTTTTCATCAAATGCATTTAGAAAATGTCCCAGTTTACTGTTAAGATCCTCTGCCAACAATTCTGACATATGAATTCTTGTTAACTGGTATTAGACGGCTTACAATTATTATTTTCAATATGTGCCTGCTATTGAAGACTGAAATATTAGACAGTACACGTGTAAGTTGAATTGAAAAAAAAATTATTGGCTTCTCTGTCCCTTTCTGTTAGAAAATTGCCAAAGTTTAGAGGTTTCTTTCATACATTACCAACCTGAACAGGTCTTGTCATCACCAGTAAAACCCTTTTCACAATTACACTGATATGATCCCATCATATTGACACACTTGGCATTCTCATCACAAATGCCATTAAACGATACACTTTCACATTCATTGACATCTGAAATAATATTGTGTATTATATAGATAATTTATTAACTGATACAATTTCTTCCAAAATAGAACACATTTTAGTAAAAATGATGGATACATAAGTTACCTGAACAATTTCTCCCATCTCCCTCATATCCACTGTTGCACTTACAGGTATAGGACCCTATGTTATTCACACACTTTGCATTGATGTCACAATTGTGATCTTCAAGGATGCATTCATTTATATCTGTAAAGAAAAATATAATTAATAAAATACATTATTTTGAGTGTACTATTCTAGTGTTATCAAGTGCATGAGAGTTCTGATTTAAATAAACTGAAACAAAATGAAAACAAGTACTCATTTACCTGAGCAAACAACCCCATCTCCAGTGAATCCTTTCATGCATCGACAAGCATAAGAGCCTCCAGTATTGGTACAAACAGCATTTTTACTACATCTATGAGTATTTAGACTGCATTCATCAATATCTGGAAAGATTACAAATAGAAAAGTTTTAATACTAAAATGAGAATTACTGATACCAAAGGAAGCTCCTTTTCTAACCTGTGCAGGATTGACCATCTCCTGTATATCCCTTCTTGCATCGGCAAACGTATGAGCCTTCAGTGTTTGTACACATGGAGTTTCTTTCACAAGTATGACTACCATCTGTACACTCATCGCGATCTATATATTGAATATTCAGTAAGATCAAGACTCGATCCCAACCAATATCATTTTTGAGGACAAAATTTAAACCCTATTGTTTCATGTATAATAATATCTCTTTACCTATGCATGATGTGCCGTCTTTCACATATCCCTTAGAGCAACGGCATACAAAAGAACCTACTGTGTTTGTGCAAACAGCATTACTATTGCAGCTGTCTTTTTTATCACATTCATCCACATCTGAAATTAACACACATTAAGACATTCTAATTAATATTTCTGTCTTAATAGCAATCTATCAGCTCACATTCTACAGTGAAATATGGTATAGATTTTTCTGTGTTTTGGATTACCTGTGCATTTGAAACCATCTCCAGTGAACCCTTTCCTGCAAATACACTGACTTCTGTCTTCTTCTATGACACAATCAGCATTTTTGCCACATTCCTGTACACACTGTCCTATAGCTGGAAAGGTAAAAAGAACAAACAAGAAGAATAAATTGGATATAAATGACAGGTATTCATAACTTGTGAGCAAACAACCTCCAAGCAATTTCAGGCTTTTTCACATTGATATTACTTGAATGTGAACCACTGAAAAACTGGCACGCACAAGACAGGAGTAGTAAATTATAATACCATAGCAGAAAGTGGACAACTTACGCCTACAAGTTGAACCATCTCCAATATACCCTTGTTTGCAGGAACACTTGTAAGATCCAGGTAAGTTGACGCAATCAGCATTGTTATCACATTCATTTATCCCACTCGCACATTCATCAAAGTCTATAAATATAATGTATTAGCCATCTGAACATCATATCTCACTAACTAGTAAAGGTATCAAATCAAAAGCATACATCTTCTGAATGGTGAATGAATAAAATTAACTGAAATTCCAAAATGAATATTAGCAATAAAATGATTTGCACAAACTATAGTCAGCCAGTCATATAGTTATGTATTTGACATTACCATCACATTGTGTTCCATTGCCTATAAATCCTTGATTACAATTACAATCATATGAACCATGACTGTTTTCGCAACGAGCATTAGGACTACAAGGCGATTTTTTAGCAGAACACTCATTGATATCTGAAATAATAAAAAACACTGAATGTCAGACAGTAATAATAAGAAACACCTTTAACAACTTTTTGACCTAACTTTGTGAATGATTACTTGCAGTGTAGTCTCAACTGTTAAATTCAATAGAGTTAAAGTGCTACTTGCATGAAAATGGCCTTATTTCAAAACTTCAAGCAATACAAATATATGACTCACATATATCTATTAAAAACAATTGYGAGAAAATATTTGTTTAGGAATTGTCACACATCAGAGAAATTTTGATTCAAAAGATGAAAGAACAAAAGGATTGAGTAAATGACGTAATTTACTCCAACATTTTTTGCCCAAATTATTAAAGATTTGTATCAATATCTTCTTAAAATCTGTTGCTTCATGATTATTAGACCCATATGGATAGTTCTATTTGATTTCAATGTCTTTTCTAATGTTTCGCAATTTTCGTCCAAGTAGCCCTTTAAGAAATGCTTTTATCATTTAAATAGTAGTCAGTGTAGGTTCATGAAATAGTACACTTTCATATGAAGTTCTAAATTCTATGCAGCTATCAGATAGTTCATAACCTAAATGCACAAATTCTTTCAAAACCTATTGCAACAATCCGATGTGAAATAATTTGAAAACCACCGAGAGGAAAATAATTAATGTCCAATTCCAATAGTGTCTAATGATTATTAAAGAATTTACCAGTCAAAGTGTTGGTATTTACTTAATAACMAACAATTATTGATAATAGATCATAGATTGAATATCAACCAGAAAAAAAGAGTACCTTCACAATAGAAACCATCACCAGTAAATCCACTGTCACAATTGCACCGATAAGATGAGAGAGTGTTTAAACACACAGCATTCTTATCACATTTTGAGGATCCATCAGAGCATTCATTTATATCTAATAAATCAATTATCTAATTAATCTTAAACATATAATTAAAATTAAGCAAAATAGATAAAGTAATCTTTCAAAAACACACCAACAAATCAAAAGAGAAATTTGGAAAACAGATAAAAGTGAATAYATACTGAATTAATACTAAAATACAATCCCAATTAATAATTATTAATCCAGCTAGTTAAATTATTACCACAAATTATTACTTTCATTAAAGACCATTTGACCTAGA